CCTGTGGCAGATGGCAGACGATGAAAGACATCATTGATCTTCCAGGGCTGGCTAGAGAATGATTTTGTTTTATCGAATCTTAGTTGCGTCAGTATGTTATATTATTATTATTATTATTGTCATTTTAAACAAAAAAAAAACAATTGTGATACCACTTCATGTGTTCATCTGTCTACCGAGAACAACACAAAATGTCAGATAATTATTCGGTATCACAAAGTACATACTAGGTCAGGTTGTATAATGTTAATGATAATACATGTATCATAACATATCACACATATCGGTACCTTCGTGGTGGCAAATCTTTTCTGGAGTTCCTTGTTTTGATAACATGATAGTAATTTTTGGTGTCAAATTCTAGAGTACACTTGTATTATTACACTGCCTACCTGCTATGAACTGTTGTCACTACTTTTTAAATAACTATGATTGTGTTATTTTTGTTACCCAAGAACATATTTATATGTTACATACCAAGCAGCTTTAAGGAAACAGACTGTAACGTCTACTAAATATGTAACTTTAATTTCTCTATCTTTCTCTAACACAACCCCAACATTTTTTACAACAAAAATTTCGAAAACTGCAAATACGGCATAAACCATGAAAAAAACATAGCAACCGGATCAGTTATAAACGCAATTAACTAGAGTAAGTAAGTGTTATGCTCTTTTATTCAAATTTAAAATTCACTGCACTAGAAACAAGAATGGCTACCGTCTAGTCCCACTGTTCCTCCTACTGCTTTCGCTTTTCCTCTAATATTTTGAAAGTTGACCACTAGACACACATCTTTAGCAAACTTAATTGCTGTAATACATAACGTACAATATTGGTTTTAATAAAAATTCAACAAATTTTTTGTATTACCAATTTAATATGCATTTAAAAAAGTCACCTGATCAAAACAAATCAAGCATTCTGAAAAATTATACTAGAACGCATTTTCCAGTTGAGTAGGTATATTATTCGGTTGCTTACGTATAATCGTTAAAATATGTGTAAGTAAGTATGTATATTTTCGAGATGTATATCCATATACAGGGTGAATCACTAAGCGATATCTCATTCATTATTAGAGATAGAAAAAAAGACTCAAGACCAAAGTTGTACGGTTCTTTAAGGTACTTTTCTTTATCTCTCTACAAAATGTTGCAACACAGATTTTAACAATAACCCTACTGTGATTTTTTGTGAACCCTTCCATTGCCAAAAAAATTCAAGAAAATTGGAATAACGTGGGAACGTTGCTCCCTCTTTTTTTTAAATAAACTGTGGTTGTAAAACCTACGAGAAGGTCAATCGAAATATGTAAAGATATATAGGGTGTTTCATTAAAAAGAAACTAAATTGTGGGTTACGCCTTAAAAACAAAACATTCTGTACAGTTAAATATAATTTTAGAGTAGAGTAATAATTAATAATATATCAAGAAACGTGCGCTTAGTGATCCACCCTGTATAATTATAATTAATAAATAAATATTATGCTTAATTAAATTTATTCCAACTTCGGATTAAAATTTTTAAAATACAGTACATTTTTTTGTGAAAATTATTTTCAAAATTGTGGGGTCACTTGCCTGTTTTTTGTGAACTTATATTAATTTATTAAAAAATTACTCTGTGTGTATTAACACACAAAAAACCCAGTGTTTTAAATTTTTCCAAGCCAATCCAATGTCGTTTTAAACATTATTTAATAAGAGCACCATCATCACCATGACATTGTCATGCATTATACTGTTGGTACAACACTTGAACTCCTACATACAATCGACAAAATTATGTTTAACAAATAAACATACAAAATGAATTACACGATGACGTAGATAATGCAAATATAAATGTTATTATTATCTGCGATGATGGCATGTTTTCTGCGTTAATTTACTCTGTCCCGTTTAATGTCGCAACCACTATACCAACAATCCAAGTCAATTAAAAATTAATTTAATAAATATTTTGTCGGTTCGTCATCGCCTCAAAGCCTTGAGGGTCAAACACTTTACTTTCACTAATTTCTTAAATTTAATTTTTTTGGCACCTGCTAAGGATTAGCGTTAAGTTTCATTAATTATGCAACTTTCAAAAGCTCTGAAAGTTGAACAAAAAAAAAAAGCGGCGACAGTATTTTGAAACCAAAACAAAGCAAGAACTGGAACGCTGGCCCTATGAAATATATCGGATCGATTCCCTTATTCCATTCATCCTTTGTTGCCAAAGGGAGCCCGTTGAATACGCACCTCTATCTACTGAAGACCACAAATAGCTTTGAGTGGCACCGGACGCACAACCGCAGCACTTGACACTGTCTTCGTGAAACCGCGAAGTGGTCGAAAAGCACCAATTTTACGAACGCCAATGATGCTGGACGAGGTTATAAGATATATAGTTTGTGCCTTGGATACGAATATTTACAATTCGTACGCAACACGCTGACATGGCCACGCCTCGAAGCTCGAGGATTGGTATAGTTCGTTGTTTTGCAGTGGAGCGCCACCGTGCAATCCACAAGTGGGTGATTACAGAACTCTGTATTTTCCAGCCAAAACTTTTTTTTATTTGTTATTAAAAAGAGTCCTTCAAGCGAAATATGTTAGTCGAAAAAAAATTTATTGGCATTGAAAGAAATTAGAAAATACATCCCTCCTTGACTATTTTTTTAAAATGGTTTACTTTAGCCAGTATATTAATTATTGAAAAGTTGCCGTTTTGTTAACAACAACCATATAAGATAGCATTATTTTGGGCACATCATCTTATTCAATATTTTTTAAAGTTATTTCTACACCGTAGCGCTCAAGCTTACTCTTGTCAAACATAGCCCATTGGAGTACTGAGCTTAGATCCGCCACTGCGTATGACAATAACATTAATTAAAATGCATTCATTCAACAACTGATGATAAAAAATTATTAAATGAATCATTTCTGAAAAATTAGCCTTGAGCTGTTGTTTGTGCTTCGATAATATACTTCAATATACTTCTATCTAAACCCAATATCTCAAAAAAAATGTACTGGTATGACCTGAATTATTTTATCGATCATTATATTGGTACCAACTCAAATGTGAGCGGTGTATGCAAAATTAAATGGTTTGAAAATACTCACTTATTTTAATGGTAAGAATAATAATAATGAATACCAAAGTTTTTATTTCAGACTGAATGGAAGGTATTTTATAACTGTTTCTGCGCTGAAAAGGCCCTAAGCCTCAGCAGCGCCCCACACACCATGCCATGTAATATCTTAAGGAAAAATTGTACCAACCAGCTTAAATAAATGTATTTTTGACTTTGACTTTGACTTGACTAACTGTTTCTAGTAATTTTTTTTCTTTTTTTTACAACAATACAATTTAGTTGAGATTTGGGTACCTAATTAAAAAGCAAAAAAAAAAACTCAAAATGTGATCATGAGACACTTTGATAGCTTTACAAAAGGCTGCTTTTATGATTTTATGAAAATAAAAAAAAAATAGTAAACTGAATAAAAAATCCATAATACTATATCAAAATCAAAATCAACTGTGTTTTCAGCAGTAAATTTATGACGCGATGATCTATAAAAATAAGATTAAATTTTTCTAAAATTCTTTTCTAAATGACAATACCGCCTAAGTAAATAGTCAAATTGTTAAAATTTTAAAACCACAGAACTAAAAATAATGCAGATCATTAAATGTAGAAAAATGTTTGTTGCAATTTTTTAGGTACAACAAATTATCTTAGTTATTACAGACATGCGCTTAGAAGTAGATATAATTCTAATGGCATTACTTTTGAAATAAAATTACTGATTAACTTAAATTAATAATATTTTTTCTTAATATAAATTCTCAATGTATCGGTGACTTTACTTATTTATAAACAAACGATGATTCAAACTTTTTTCAAAATATTTTCTGAAAAACTAACGATTTATAAAGATGCTGCAAAGCCGTGAGTCAATCGCTCAATGACTATTTATAACAGCAAAACTCGTCTGTGGCTATAATAATTCCATCACCAGCGAATAATTTTTTGATAACCAAAAGATTTTTTCGGTAAAATTATATAGTACGCTGTCCAAAACTGAAACACTTGTAATATATAAAAAAATCTATCCCTTTCATCTGACATGTGCATAACTCTGAGTTCAATTTTCTTTTCATGACACCACAACGACCTCATAAGGACTTTTAAAGACATTTTTAATTTCTTTATGAACACAGGTGGTTTTGTTAGTATTAACGCCCTTAACCCAAAAATTAATTTTGAAAAAAAAGTATGAAGTTCCAAAAATGAAAATTTTGAATCGTGTGTTTTCTTCACAAAAAAAAAGGATAAACAAAGTTTTATTCTGATAGATTGATATTTACGTAGATCTACAACAACTTTTTTTAAAAATAAACGATTTAAATTATGACATGGCATGTTAAATGTCCTAATTTTAACTAAAAACTTGATAAACATAAATTAAAAATTTGGTACGATTTATTTCAATTAATTTATAAATTAACATCGTGTACTTTCATCCTCTTTGTCTAAAATACGTTCGTTTTAAGCTTATTGCCAAAAGTTAACTCTTTTCTTAACAATGCGTTAAAAATAACAATGTTTGCACCATTACTGCCATTTAAGAAATGACTAGGCAGATTTTAAACGAGCATAGAACAACACAGCGCCTGGCATCGTGTATTCTATAAGAAGCTCCTTTATCATCGGTAAGACCTCTAGTTATTCATTAAAGGCAATGACTTCAGTTTTCCCCTCGTAAATTGATACAGCATAACTCCTTCTTCAAAAATGCCAAACAATACAGAAAGGCGCCACAGGAAAAATCTTTTATCGATTTATTATTCAGTTGTTTAATAATAGATTATAATTCAAAACAGAGGCACAAGCGAGGGCACGGGTTTTTTGTTATGAGCAAACAAACGCACCTGCCCACAGCCATTAGCGATAAAATGAATTATTTCCCTTTGTAAATAAATTTAAAAAGACAGACTTACTCGGTCTGATCCTGATCTGCTGGAAAAGGAATTGCATTTTCAGGTATCGGGCTTGGCTCGGGTTCTTCTTGGACAGGACTTTCAAAAATAAGCGTCTCCACCATCGATCCCTTGGAACTACCAAACGAAACCCTACAAAAAAAAAACAATATTAGTTTAATTATGCTCGTCGTGTTAGATAAAGCTCTTGTAACCCACATCTGCTTATCGATTCGACCGAAAGTCGGTTTTTGTGGCTATAAATAACCCACAGTACTCGTTTCTTTGTCTCATCAATAGCGAAAAACGTTGGATCTTAACATCTTACAAAAAATTGTATCTTTCGTAGAAAACTAAAACAGTTCGCAGTAATATTAATACTACTTTATATGTTGGAAACCAAAATATGATCATGAATAAATTACAAACTTTTTACCACTCCCTGCGATTATTCCCAGCGAAATACAAAAGTTGTAAGCCTAACGTTCAACGTTACAATTTAACTACTACGCAATTACCAATTAGCATAGTAATTTTCGTAAAAGCAGTTCATTCATTAAGTTCGCTATTGTATGCATTAATTCATGTTAATTAAGAAAACGTGAATATTTAAACTGTTGCGAATCTTTTTTAGCGCACACATGGCATAATTCGAAACAAAATTGTGAAAAAATAACTAGTGCGATCCACATTATATAATCATGCTTATTAGTGTACAAGCAATATTTTCTCAAGAGAAAACTATGGTGGCATTTGTTAAAAATGTTTAGCGGTCAAATAAATAAACAATGCAGCTTAATTTATGCATTTAATCAGAAAAACTTCTATTTTTTTTCTTGGCAAATGTACGAACATATAAAACAGCTGTTAAGCACTCATTGTACATCTTATTAGTAAAGTCACAACAGAAATTCTCAAACTTCCAACTTTTCATAACAAAACAATAATTTTACGAACATTCAGCCTCGTTGAAAATGTTTATAAGTACGTTGTGTTTTGCTTATACCACAAAGAGTATTACATGAAATTAACACAGAATCACATGAAACAAACTTACTTCACCCATAAACCGTACAGTACAACGTTTTTGCACATTATTACTTTTACCAAGCTTTGTGCCATATGTAAAACCTAATACTTCCTGACTAGGGTTGCCAGATCTCATATATTTGGTATGAGTATTAGATATTTAAAGAAAATCTCATACCTCATACCAAGTATTAAATATATGAGATAATCTCATATATTTTCATTTTAACCGCCATTTCGAATTCTGTACTCTGCACTTTAGGCGCAGAAACTTAAATTCGAATTCCAATAATTCAGAGTCTACTGTCTAACATGTATGCAAAGTTGTCGGCTGAATCATGACAAAAAAGTGGTGCAGAAACGTCAAATTAGAGACGCGATTAAATTAAATATTAATTCGAGCTTCTGTAAACTCGGCCTAAAACGTCTCATATATTTTTAACTGATCTCATATATATTTTTCCATGGAACTCATATATACCTTCTGAAAAAATCTGGCAACCCTATTCCTGACTTATGTTTGGAAAGTAAAAAATGACATTCCAAACAACAACTGGTCTACTATTGACAATTTTTTGAGAAACCACCCTGCATCCTGCATCAGTGTTTTTCATAAAACTTATAACATATTTGTAATGCTGTGCGACCAAAAAATTTTGAGTTGCAGTAGGCTATGACTTATGACATAATCCATATAAATTATATTCACCACCTTGTGGTCTTTTTACTGTTACGTCTGACGTGCTTATCTTTCATGCATGCTAGTTTGCTACTTTTCAGGTAGCAAAAACTTGTGTTTTTCTTCTTTTAATAAAATACTCCTAAGTAAAATTTTAAAGGCAATTTTTTTTTGTATACATTTTTCCATTTTTTTTTATAAAATAGTACGTACATGAAACCGATTTAATAGCCAACCCAATCAAAAATTATCAGTGCGATTTTGCATGCTTTTTGGCTTTTGAAGGGTTGCGATTTTTTACTAAATTCAAAAAATAATGACAAAGACTACACAAAAAAAATGGAGGGAGTACTTTTTCAAAATTGGTTGAATAATAAGCTTATTCCTGTGATGATGTGTACCGCACCGTACTACTCGAGTAAAAAAAGTCAAATGTACAATGGTTTATTAATCATGGTATCAATTTCAATGAAAAATTTTCGAAAAAAGAACTTTTGAATTTAAATACACGGTTTTGTACGTGAAAAACCAGACGTTACATGACTAATGAAGTAGTAATGAAACATTGAGAGAACATGGTCATAATATTCTTAGATTACCCCCATACCATTGCCAATACTATCCTACTGAATTGGCGTGGGGGTTTTGTAAGAATTTCTACAAGCACATAAATTCCCCACCTGAATCTCCAGATAAGGTGTCAAATTTATACTTGCATCTCTAGATGTACTCCTGACAAATGGCAAAATATTTGTAGACATACTGAAGAATTTATATTGCTCGACTGGAAAAAATATATGGGAAATTTACCATTCGAAAACATTCCTCCTTTTATTATTTCGTTAGGCGAACATGAATCAGAATCAGATGAGGACGATGACCTAGATAATGAATTAGATTCTTCTGAAATTGTGAAGTTTCCTTATTATTACTATGTTAACATTTAATAATGTTGATTTTCAAACTGAAAGATTAAGCTCTGCTAGTAAATTTATTCTTATTAGTTTTCAAATTTGAATTTACATACTTATACATAATTCTTGCGGCAAAAGAGTCGATCAAAAAAGTCGGTCGAAGGATTTTTCGACAAAACTTCTCTCGCCCCTGAAGTACAAAAAAACATCGCACACATTTCGCGATTTGATACCAGAATCTTTCACAATATGTTGTTTTGCGCAAAGGTTTGCCGTCAATATTGTAGCCTCGTGAAGTTTTCCTTGTGAAAATAACAAAGGAAATTGGTGAAACTTAAAGCCAGGAAGTTTCTTATAAATAGCATCAAGAAAAAGAATAATCCACATAAGATCAAGTGTGTCAAAAACATCATTAGAGATACAATATATTATACATCTGATTTAAACCAGCACGATATGTAGTTATTTGTTTTTGTTCCGTATGATTGTATGAGATTTAGAAAAGATGGAGCCATAGAAATATCCTAGCAAAATAGATTTTTTTTGTATGAGATTTATAGTCTTTAAAGGATCTATATCTTATTTTTTAGAAACAGTAAAAATAAACAGACAAAAGAAATCCTTATGTCTTTTGTAGTAAAAATGAAATAAAACTTTTGTTACGTCCATTTGTATTCTAAAGAAAATTTAGCTACAATGTAAACAATAACATTTCACTGCCACCACTTTGGTAACTACGTTGCTACAACCTTCATTATTTTCACTGTTAACTAAAATCTGGGGGGTTTAGATTTATATACAAAAATTAATCACGAATCTGAGCCTGCTACTATAAGACACTTGTGGAAGTTGTTTCATTTCCACATAATTTACACAAGAACACATAATTCCATGTTTCATGTGAATATGAGCTAACACTGTTTCAAATTATCAACAACTAACTACTGACTATATTTTAAACTTCACGAAAAGATTAATTATTCAAAGTTTGCGAATACTATATTCGTAAATTCTTAAACTTAGTGTTTTCTTACAGGATATTCCGGTAAAATCACTTGTTTTAAGACTGCTTCATACCTTTCAAACCTCATTCTCTACATTTAAAGCAACTAGTTTAATAGGGAACTCAATCCATATGTTTCTCGCCACATAAAGCTGCTAACTTCTATGTGTATCCAATTTACAAAATTTATAGGTATAACTCTAAACGACTTACTCCTCTAACGAAAAGCTTTTGACCAACGGAAGATGTCTGCCGCAAATTGTCTAATCAGTTAACAGTCTAGATTATTGTCAGCACTATAAATCCGAAATGATTATATATTACGGAACACCTCATACTATAAGAGCTCCAGATAATTTCAGGGCATACCTATTTCATCTTTGCGTCCCTTCTAAAGTTGGGCTTCCCGCCATTACCCAAATAGTTCATTCTTCCACTGCAGGTTGTTACCTTCGATAACATTGCCGCAGTTTTACTCTTGCATGCAATTCATGATCGCACAAAACTAAAGCAAATTTGCCACACTTCATAGCAAACATAAAAGTTAAAACATTTTATGTCTATCCAACTATTCACAAGGCCAGAAATCCCAAATACAATAACCTGATAACCAAAACAAAGCACTCCATTCTTGAAACTGAAGTGAGTAACTGAAAAAGTGATCTAGAGATGCATACATATGTAAAATTATATGTACTTTATTCCTGATTAAAGTAGATGCTTTTTTTTCATTTCATAAACATAATTTATGCTTTTCGAGGCGCAATGTTTATTTCTATGGAAAGGGAAATAAATACTGTAGATTTAAAAATTACATACATCAGTCGGACAGCTTTCTATCCGGCCGTACTCTCTGTTATATTACTATTTTTTAATGCTTGTGTTGTACTTGTATTTGTGTTAGAAACCAAGTTTTTAACTCATTTATTTTTAATTTATTTTCAGTGAAACTGCTAACTTTATTCACAATATATTTTTCTTATTACGCATTCGAAGCAGGTGTGTTAGAAAGTGAGCATGTTTAACGCAGCTTATTTTTAATTTGATTGCAGTGAAATTACTGAACATTAAAAAATTATCGTTTTAAAATAAATCACAAAAAATAACTGTTAATATTATTATTATCAATGACGAATTTTGCTTGTTTCTATCTACGTTATGGTTGGTCGAGATATGAAGGATTTTGTGAAAATGCAAGAGATTACGGAACCGAAGAAGGAAGAAGTAACGTGTACAGGAGATGAGGAGCAATTTAAGAATCAGAGTTGACACGAAAATTGGATTTCAGCCCTCACTGAGAACCCACGTCAATCGCGTCGGTTATATAACATTCAGTGAAAACACCAGAGGCGTCACAACACAGAGTCCAACGGATACCCCGCTAATCTACGAGTATTATAATAAAATCGTTGACGGACAGACGAAAACGAAAAGCCGACATTTTCGTATTCCAAAAAAAAACGACGTTCAGTAAAATGACCATATTACAATGTTTCTCCTACCTTGTACGTATAAAGTAAAAAATATA